CCCTTTAGAAAGGAGTAAGCTCTTTTCTTGGAGGTCCCCAGGTCGTATCGGTCCGGAAAAATCGCCGGTGGTAAACTATTCCACAGAGAGGTTGTACGTGGAAAAAACTCCTTGTGAAACGTACAGTGGTGGACCGCTAAGCATCCAGATGGTGTGGATGGTATCGGGACGTTTGCCGTGTAGTGCGTTCACGAAATTTGGCGGCTGGGATTAATCCGAACAATTCCTCAGAGCACTCCCCGTGATAGATGCGATAAAATACGCAAAGAAATGCAACATCTCTTCGCAGCGCCAGTGAATCGAGCCGATCGGAAAGCACTCGGTCGTCGACGATTCGAGCCGCTCTGCGCTGGATGCGGTCAAGTGGAAGGAGCTGGTACTGGGGAGCCCCAGCCCAGAGATGGGAACAGTATTCCATTGCGGCCGAACCTGCGCCTTGTAAAGTTGCAGGCGGTGTGCCGGCATGAAATACTGTCCCGCTCTGCTGAGCACGCCAAGCTTTTTAGAGGCCAATTTGGCCTTCCCTTCCAAGTGACCACAAAACTGCACGTCACTCGATATGTCGACGCCGAGGATTCCGATACTGGCTGAGGCAACAAGGGGAGTGCCTTGAAACTGAGGGGATACGACAAAGGGGTTCTTTTTAGCGGTTAACGCGCAAACTTGTGTCTTCTGGGGGTTAAACTGGACTAGATTTAGTCGTCCCCAATCCGAGACTCTGTTCAGCAAAGACTCGACTTCAGACACAAGTTTGTCCCGGCACTCGGAGACGTTTTATATTTTTATTTATGGGTATGCAACATATCATTGATATGCAGAAGAAACAGCGTTGGCGATAGCACGCAGCCCTGTGGAACACCAGCATTAATAGGCTTGCAATCGGAGCTTGCACCGTCTACAACGACCTTGATGCTCCGATCTGCAAGAAAGCTGGTGATCCAATCGCACAATTTCTCGGGAAGCCCATAGGAAGGGAGCTTCGAAAGAAGCGCTTTGTGCCAAACCCGATCGAAGGCCTTCGCAATGTCCAAACTAACGGCCAATGCCTCCCCCTTGAACTCTACTGCCTCCGTCCATCTGTGAGTTAGGTAGACCAGAAGATCACCAGCTGACCGACCACGGCGAAAACCGTATTGGCGGTCACTAATCAGCTGGTGATCTTCAAGGTACCTCATGAGCTGGCAGTTTACAATGGACTCCATAGTTTTCTTCACAGCAGTTAACTTCTTAATGACGCTAAGTTATCATATAAACCTCTGGATAAAATTAACAATTAGCCTTCCTCAAATAGTATAATTAACAGTCTTCATTAATTTACCGACTAATTAAAGAATCACGAAAAAATACATCAAAATGCGTCAAAGTAAATCATCATCATCATCATCATTACAGCCCTTCACAAGTCCATTGCTGAATATAGGCCTCCCCCAAGGTATACCACAAAGTAAATATTTACGCCATATTTAGTAAAGATAAGTTTATATTGAAGGAATATTTAATCAGACGTTTTGTACCTGATACAAAAGGAGGAGGGAGAATCATTTTAATGTCACTGAGTTTCACATTAGCCATATCGGGTTCTAGAGGAAACATAAAGGTTTTATTTAGACGATCTTTTAAATATTGCCACAGCTTTCCGATCGAATGAGGTAGCTCGTGCGAGACTTACAGCTTCTGGTTTCTTTACTGAAATATCAGGATGCCTTTTTTTAAAGAAACGAAACCATTCCAAATCTGACATTTTATCCCTTTCCCATGAGCTTGGTATTTTTATGCCATTACCTTTGCCGTTTCGTACGCTACCTTCCTACATTCTTTGGTGGTCAAACCGTAGAACATTAGTGCACAGCCATTGTAGTATTTTAATAATATTTGTTCCTGTTCTTCAGTAAACATTTTATTAATTTCTTACTTCGGTTCGAGTGATATATTATCACCATGTTTACGTTTTTTTAACGTAACGCCGCAATGTTGGGTAGGGAATTTTACTGGTTTTTGCTGCCGTCCTAATGGAGCTACTATTTTCTATCATTAGTAATGCTGACATATCGTCCTTTTTGTGTTTTCCAATTTTTCTTTCCTTATTTATTGGCCTTTACATCCTAAAACAATCAAAAATATTATTGATTTTCACCATAACACTATCATTGAACAGTGAACCAGGATCGTAAGGTACACAGTGAACCGGTTCACTGTGTACTATGTGAACCTGGTTCACTGTTCAATACACACATTATTCAACTTATAATATTAAAAAAAAATAGGTTGTAGGCTGAATTGTCACAATATGCCCATAAAACGTCTAAAACTACAACAATATCGACACTATAAAGCTTTTGGTGCTAGAATTAATAACAAAATATATAAAAATCGAGACACTTACGTGAGAATTCTATGTTTTGTTGGCGAGAAACAAACAAACCGCTGTCACAAGTCACGCTCAAGCCGCAGCCATCGGCTAACTACGGGAGAGGGGAAGCGTGCTTACGAGAAAAGTTTTAACACGATCGGTCGAATTGGCAACCTTGCAGTTTTTTCAATATGGTGGTGGTTCAATGTTCCTGGTTGGTTCACTGTTCAACTACGAACTATACATAAATAAAAGCCCAACCAGATGGTAACCCTCAGCAGGGGAGAACAAACGGCCGAGGGTTAGGGGGAAAGGGAAAGAAACCGGCGGATGATGCGGGCGGTATCGCTGTCTGTAATGATGGCCCGGTCCCACTAGGGCCTGGCGCGGTCATTTTCGAGCACGGCTTCCGATATGTACTTGTAATACGGCAATTTCCGGTCCACGATACCGTATTTCAGAGCGAGCTCCTGGTGAAGTACTCTGGCTACTAGGTTGTGCCTGTGCAAGTACTCGAGTTAGAAAGCGCCGAACAACCGTAGATGACATGTTTAAGTGACTCGCCGGGATGGCGACAAGCTCTACAGATGTCGACGGTGCCATCCTTTAGGATGTATCTCTGATAGTTAATGATCTTAATAACCTGATCCTGTATTGAACAGACGAAACCCTCGGTTTCCCTGAAGAGGTCACCAAAGCGTAGCCAGTAGAGGGAGGTTACAGTATCTACGAAAGGCTCATGAAGAGCTTTGTAGAACCTCCCGTGGAGCTCCTCCTTCCATACGGTCTCTCGGTCGGCAATGCTATGTACTGCCGGGTCTTGCCATTGCACGTTGGCTAAGGATAGAGGGGTAAGTCCTTTATCACAAGAAATGACGTCCCTATATAAAGGATCATCCGATCTCGCCAGAAAGTAATTACGGAGGCTGCACACTTCGTGATTATACATGGTGAGCGCGCTCAGAAAGCTACGCCCACCATGCCTTCGCGGCAAGTACAACCTAATTACCGACGATCTCGGGTGATGCATCCTATGGGATGTCATGGATCATGGTAGTGCGGACTTTTCTATCCAGGGCGTTAAGTTCAGTGGGAGTCCACCTGAGTATGCCAAAGGTGTACATGAGGACCGGCATGACCAAACCTTTATATCCGTGTGTCTTATTCACACCGGACAAAAGGCTGTTAAGTACTTTGGTCAAACGTGCATAAAACACGTCGCAAACTGACTGTTTCATACCAGCCTCATCGATACCGTTGTTCTGTGCCATACCAGGTGTCGGTATGTTTCAGCCTCGGAAAGGGTCATTAAGTTGACGGGCATAGATAAGCCCTCACAGTAAGCAACCCTTCCCCTTTCAACATAGAGGACCAACTTATCCAACCCCAGCTCCATTCCTAAATTCACAAATGTAATAGAATTACTAAATTCACAAATGATGTTTAGCAATTCCATAAGATAGGAGCGACTGGAGGCGTATAACTTGAGGTCATCCTTATAGAAAAGGTAGATCACTTTTGTCCCTCCCTTCCGCAGCTGAAATCCCCTCCTGGAGCCCTCCAGTAAGGTACTGAGAGAGTTCGGAGAGAGGCAGAACCAGATTGGACTCAGACAATCGACCTGGAAAATACCCCTTCTTATCCTTATGCGGCTTTCCGCAGCCGTCATCTGCTCGCCTAGATGACAAAGGATCGTACTCCACTGCCCCATACACTGCCCGACGTAGTCTCTAACTGTACAGTCAATCTTGTACAGCTCGGGGACCCTCTTTAGCCATGTATGGGGCACCGACTCGAATGGCTTTCTGTAGTCTATCCAGGCGGCGGAAAAGTTCCGACGGTTGATCTAACTTGATTAATTCCAGAGCTATTTTAATTTTTAATGGAATAAGTTTTTCACACATTCCACTGATGGTAAGTGGGTGCTGTGGCCCAAAGACAACTACGTCTATTCTCGATTACGAATCAAAATGCAGATGCGTTGTCACTCCTGAGTCCTGAGGACTTTGGATGGACTCACCATACGAAGCAGCAGCTTTTGGCTGGCCCTTCTACGATCGAGCCAACTAATAAAAAAACATAATATAGCTACATCATGATTCATGATTACCACGTATAAGTAAGACCTTTAATAACCGTATCTACTTTAATGGAGCAATTCGTATATTTAATATGTAATTAGTTTTTTGGAAACGGCTCAAACGATTTTTAGAAATGTTGTATTTTAGTAATGATTTACGTACCAGGTTTATCACGATAGGTCCTACCCTTAGAATTTTTCCCAAATTTACAGATCGTGTCGTCCCGGGGGTGTTGTAAGAAGGAAATTAAAACAAGTTTGGCAGCAAGTTGTTTTAATTTCCTTCCCGATATCAACTCAAAAAAAACCGCCCGACTGTCGAGCGTGATAGCTGTGGCAAAATCCCCCTATTTCATTTTATGTTGTTTACGTTATGTACCCTGATGTAGTATATAAAATTAATAGGCGTAAATTAAAGAAGAGAAGCTAAATGGACTCCTCTAATTCATTTTATTGTTTTTAACTACTATTCCATTCTGTTGTAAAATGTTTGATTTCTTATTCATTTTAGTTGCCAAATTAACTGTATATACAATAAATGCGTTATTTAGAAGTTTTTTTTAATAATAGGGCAAAACTACGACACCGGTACGTAAAGAGGCACCAGACAGCTTTAGCTCCCCTGAGAGCACAACCTCTGAAGATAATAAAAGAAAGAGTTTTCGCCGGGAGAAGAGTTTTAAAGACGATCGCAGACCGGCGAGGGAAGGCAGCGAAGAGTTCGGACAAAGAGGAGGCAGTTTCAGGGGCAGGTATTTAAGTTTTCCTGTTTTAAGTAAGCCTGTATGGTTCTTCCTAGTTTTTATACTTTCATTAAATATTTAACTAAATGTTTTTGGGATGTAAGGGGGATGAAACAACTTTTTTAACGGTCTTTAAAAGGTCGGTAATAGATCTTTAAAAGTAGTTGGTGATGGGGCAGCAGTTGTATATTTTCTTTCACTAAGATAGTGTTGGTCCATCCGAAAGCGCATATAATTATTATTTTGCTTTAATTTAATTAATTTTTATTGTGTTTGTTAGATAAATGTTTTACAAGTCCATGATTCTAGGAGTAAAATAGAATACTATTTTATTCTTATGGTTATTGTAATAAAATACGAATATACACAAGTCGTGCCCTCCACATTCATGGGAAGCTCACAATCGATCGTGAAACCCTCCGCGAAACGGACGTAGAAGCTGCTGTTGCAATAACTTTATTTATTTATTATATTTTTATTATATATTTTATACGTGTTAGAGCCAAACTGCAGTTTATAGTTGTAGCACGAATGAGTCCCGGCCCTCTCCGGGCTGATGCATGGTAGAGAACCGCAGACCCTTTTTACCTGAAACGAGACATTTCATCTTAGTCCTCAGGGGTGACAACGCATCTGCATTTTGATTTGTAATCGAGGATAGGTGTAGATGTCTACGGGCCGCAGCAACAGCTTACCATCAGGTGGACTGTGTGCTAGTTTGTTACCCTGTCCTATAAAAAAAAATTGCTATTGGTGTCGGCGGCGCCTTTGACAAGATGCGGTACGTGCCAAGGGGGCGCGACACAAAGGCGATCGTATCTAAGTCAACAGACTATAACGATATATGAATGTATAAGGGGGACGTCACACCGCCCGTATTCACACGAAATGCAAAAATTCATAGTTCAAAGGAAATATCCATACAATAAATAGAAGTATGTAACACGAAAGCGAAGGCAAATATTTTATGAAATTTGTCCCCTCATGTTTGTATGTGTTGAAGGTATATTAATATATAGTAATAAAGGATTTTGCTGTTTTCATAAAAGTACTTTTATTGGTTCTTTTCTCTTTCAAACAAATCAGTTTTATCCAACTAATTTAAATTAAGCTAAAATAGACTGTTGTGTTAGAGTTGCGCTATTTATTAATAAAATCGACTAATCAGCGTTTTCTATGAACTGATGCATCTCAGATCCCAGTACGTTTGTTTAAGCGCACATTCAACAGAAAACGTCCGGTCCGATGGTTTTCACTTCTGCTATGACGCGTACACTGTCGTTGTCAGACCTATAGAATACATACTATAATACAAAATAGAATGGCTGTCAACTTTACTTTGTACGAGGTTTGGCGTCGCCAAACCCGATTCGCTGTGTTGAGAGACTTTTGATTAATTTCAAGACCATCATTAAAAAATCGTTTAAATTTTAATACATATTTGTTTGTAAATAGGATGCAATTTGACATTTTCTAAATAATTGCATGCGAAATTTGGAAACGATTGTAACGTCAAAACACATCTCGTGTTGCATTTATACGTGTGAATTGACGTATTTGTGACATTTTAGTGGCTACGCATTGTTTATTATTTTTTTCTTTAAAGACTTTAGTATTTTCTCCTGTATCGTGGAGGCAGTTCACATACATAAATTGCACAAGGACAAACATCCAGACCCGGAAAAATATTTGTAGGCCATGTGTTCTGCCACTTGTTCCGTGCAAGATTCGAACCCGTGGCTTTTAGCGACGCAAATAAATGTTAAGCCACCGAGCCGTCGTGTAAATTAGTGATTCACCGAAGGCGGTTTCTGTCAAATAATGTCGAGTTCGGTTACACATAATTTGGTTATTTATAACATGCGCCGAAAATGAAGTTCGGTCAAACTGTAGATGTGTCATAAATTTTGAATAACTTTAATTTTTAAACATTTTGTCTTTTGTTTTCTTTAAATTAGATGATATTATTTTCCGATTTATTAATAAAGAGCAATATTAATGTTATGGTACAAAATCTGGTTTTATTTTAAGGAAAATCATGATATAAAGTACAGCCTAATTTACTGACAATTGTTGTACGATACCAAATTTGGGAAAATTAAGCAGTATATGGTATGATATTATTATAGTCAAATATGTTAATTAATTTCGGTAGAATAACATGTTAAATGCTCGGTCAATGAAACGAAATGCGGCCAAATTCAGAGTTCGGTAAAGCTGTCTAATTCCGGATAAAGTTATATCGTATATGAAACGAATTTCGTTGCAACACTACTTAAAATCATCAAATTGTAGCACGGCGCTGTTATTTAAACTCTTTTTAAAAAGGGGTATACTGAAATAAATTTTTGAAGAAAAGATATAATGGTCCATCGGCCATTATCAAAGGATACACTCGCCAATGTTAAAAAATATACTAGATCGAGAGTTAAATTAGAAAGTCCGTACATAATTATAATAACGGGCTATGAGGGATTCTATGGCAGCTACCGTGGGTGACTGAGCACCTGCTCTTTCTCTTTTAGATTTAGTATGGATGAGCTAGTAAGTTTTACTTACAGCCTTTATTCGTTCTACTGCTGAGTACAGGCCTTCTCGCGTTTCTGAGAGGTCTATGAAGCGATTATGCCGCCGGTCTGCGTCAACTAATGATTCTGATATTTTGTGTTGTCTTTCGAGTATATGTATTTTTGGATTGTTTTAACTCAAGAAAAAGCCTCAAATTCGATTTCTCTAATTCGCTCTGTGATTCACTAATAGTATTCTGAAATCTGTTGTCTGTGTAACAGGGAGAGCCCAAGCTTAGGTACCGCCTTACGAGAAAGCTAAATCCTACATACATCCTACACAGCCTGTTCTTAGGCAATATGATATAATAGCGCGGTCGCAGACGGAATCCTCTACGAGGAATTTTCTTTATAATTGCAAAATCGCATTTTATTTAATCTTTTTTTTAGATATAACGGGTTGTATATATTGCCGTTTTTCATTTTATAAAGGTTTATCTATTTTATCCTATTCCATTATTTGAAGATCATGTTAATCTATCTAAAGCACGATTGGTATTGTGTTTTTACACACTTTGATAAAATTGACGTTTTTGTATATGTATGAATCTTACAACGTTTTCAATTTGTTGTCAATTGTCATCGGTTCCTCATTGACAATTTCGTGAATATGACGTAGATACTGTGGTCCGTAGATATCTACATTTATCCTCGATTAAGAATCAATATGTAGATGTGTATCACTAAGATGGAATGCCTCGTGTCCTGTAAAAACGGTCTCCGGTTCTCTACACTCATCATACGAAACACAGCAGCATTAAGCTGCTATTTTACGCTGGTATTCTGTGAAAGCGTAGTCCTTATCCGGTCGAGCCGACCCATTCGTGCTCCAACCATAATATAGCTGCAGCGTGGCTCTACCACGTAAAATTTCACTTTGTTAACAATCAAAGAGTGTATTTCATTAACAATTAATATAGGATTATATTACATGATGCTACTACTTGAATATTCGAGTTTAGTTTTTATAATGGACGTAAGATTTCATCATCGTTGCATTTTGTTATTTTTTATTTAAAATTACAGTTTGAAAGAATGAAAAGTACAGACCAATTCTGTGGTGTATATTAACTTGTAATTGCATGTTTTTCAAAGACACTACTTCTACTCCTATAGGAGTACTACGCCTATAGGAGTCCACTGCTTAACATAGGCTTACCCCAAAGATTATATTGATTCATCTTCTATGTAATTAAGAATAATACCTTGAGACGAAGTGTCTCTTCATTGAAATGATTTTCCTATTCGTTTACGTATTGATTTATAGTACAAGCGTGCACCCGCGTGACATTTCCACACTTGAAAACACTTATGATTTGTAACGAGATAAATCGATAAAAATTTCACAACTCCGGCACTTCCACGGTACTTACACGCGCTCTTACAGGAATTGATACAAAAAACAACAATATAACAGATTCATGGCTGCTCTGGCCTTCATCGCGGTTCTTTGAACCCGTTGCACGGCATTTTAGTCATTACGCCGTTCTTGTATCACAAGATGTATAGGTAACCGCTTCCGATATTTATTAACGTAAATAATTTATACTGTATACTATGTTATACTTTTTTATATCGCTATAGTGTTATTTGTGTGTGGAATAATTGGAAAGGTAAATCAACTGGTTTTTCTTAGCAGGGAGCACAAGGAAGGCTTCGATAGATCTGGACCGGGTCGTCATAGTGAGAAATTTGGCGGAAGGCCTGATCGTGGAGACAGGTTTGTGAATTTTTTTACCTTTTATTTTGTATCAGGAGTTGTATTTTTTGATTTCCTATGCGTATTTATATATTTTATTACATCAAAAAGTTAAAGAGTATTTAAGTTTTTTAACCTTCTTTTTGTAGTATGGTAAACGTCTAAATAGCTATAAGTTTCTTATATCTTAAGTAAGATAATACGTAATCAAGACTGACAAAGCCCAAGTTAATGATGCATGTTTAATTTTTTTACGGTTATTTTTGTTCCCATGATAATTCATACATAATTTTGCTCAGTGTTGCCTTGTTTTAAAAGCTATATTCGCGTGAATTTATTGCAATTGACAGACGTGTAGACATCATCTTTTTCGTGCGTTTTTATAGCCTCAATATCGATCAGAGTTTACTAATAATGGGTTTAGCTCCTTCATCAGTAATTACAATAGTGTAGTCATAACTTATCGAGTTTGCTCATAACGCTAGAACGTATGTAATAAGTAAAAGTCGTTTATTACGAAAGAGGCTAATTTTGTCTTTTAACTGTCAATATTTTAAGGTTTACCGTCCAATTAACATTTATGTAAGTATTGTTAGTAGATTCTCGGCATAATGCAACCATGTTTCATATTATAAGTGACGAGAAACGGAGAATTTTATACACGGTATTTTTATATAGACTAAGGCTGACAAACGAGCACGCAGTCCCGATGGTTAGTAGATGCCGTGGCCCATATACATCTACATTTATCCTTGATTTCAAGAAACCCACTGCAAATGCGCTGTCACCGCTGAAGACTAAGACAGAGTGCCTTGTTTCCAGTAAAAAGGATAACGAGGCATTCTATCCTAGTCCTCGGGGGTGGCATCGCTGCTATATTTTGGTTTTTAATTTAGAATAGTGGTAGGTATTTATGGGCTACAGTATCCACTAACCATCTGGTGGACTCTTTTGTTACCCTTGTTTCCATAAAAATCTATTCTTGTCGACATAATGGTCACAATATCTGGCTACTACGCTGGTCTCGGGCTCGTATTCAGTCAATAATATTTATACAAAAACACACATTTTTTTTGAGTTTGTTTCTGCTATGTCGCTGAAAGTCCCATTTGAGTCTCGGATAGATTAGAGTGAGTATTTCCCATTGACTTATATATTACTAGTGTAAGGACCGGGCCGACCGAGCAACTAAATCGGACCAATGCGCTGGCCCTAAAATGTAATTTTAGAATGCAATTCGGTCGACAGTGATGTGCGCGTAGGATAGATTTGCATGTCATAAAATATGCCTAGTTGCGTGGTAAAAGCATTCAAAAATTACGATACAAAGATTTAAAAAAACATGGGATATCGTATCATCGATAATTTTTTTTCTATTAATAACCTTATATTAATTTTGTTATAATTAAATTATTATATAAACGCATTTTTAAAGTTTTATTTTACAGTTAGTCAGTTTAGTTACGTTACCAAGATTAGGCCAGGGTTGGATTCAGACCCTCAAAAATATTGTGCATGGAAAATAAAATTATACTTTTTGTCAAAAATTATATCACGTTTCATGTTTGATGTTATCTTTCAATGTGCTAGGGTTTTGGCATCACGCGTCTAGTTTTTCATCTATACATTTCGTTTTTTGACGATTTTATTTTTATTTCTGTTTTATTTTTGTCTATAAAACTTTGTGTAAGGTAAATTGTGAATATTGGTACCTAATTACCTTATATTCAATAAGGGTAAGACGAAAAGAGTACAAAAGGAACGATACCTACTTAATTTAAACTGAAAATCTGATTCATAAAATATTTTGGAATACTGTTTTCAAACCGATTGCTTCCGGGGCATAGAGTTTTTATCGTGGTATCACGGACATGGTCATTATAGTTGTATCAAAGGTGCAAAATAAATGCATCGATCAAGCACCGATTGACCAGAAAAAGAGCTAATGCTAATTTTATTTTAAAAAAGGCGGTACTCATGTACTATGCAGCAGACATTCTCGATATCATCATCATCATCATTACAGCCCTTCACAAGTCCACTGCTGAACATAGGCCTCCCCCAAGTAATGCCACAAAGCACGGTCCTGAGCCACCTGCATCCATCGACTTCCTGCATGTCTTACCAGGTCGTCATTCTCGATATGGTAGAGGTAATATTAAAAAGTAAAAGGACCTAATAAAAATACAAGTCGGTCAACCTTTAGGTAAAATTATGGTATTTTTTTAAAATGTTGCGCGGCGCTTAGTATTATTACGATACTCCATAACTACACACTATGATATAATGGTACAAATAATATAATTATACTACGAAATCCGACCCCGGTTACGTCGTGGTATGATGTTTGTATTATGACAGATGCGCTACTTTTGCTTGTATAAAGAAGTTATGAGTAAAAGATTTAGATGGTACGCCCATCTAAATCTTTTACTTCTTCTCTTTCTACTTCCTTCCTTTTGAAATCATTGGTGTTTCCAAATTTGCTTTTATTTATTTGAAAGTCATGTCAAATGATGTATTGTCTGCGCAATTGATATCCTCTTAGGCATGATTCCGACGTGATCAAATATCAGCCACTAGAACTTGACACGCAGTGATGAAACAACTTTTCCAACTCGCAACATTTTAAACTATCCCGAAAATAGGTCCAAATTTTTCATTCATTTAACATAAAAGAAAAAGCGTTGGTGATAACACGCAGCCTTGTGGAATACCAGCGTTAATAGGCTTGTAATCAGTGCCTACTACTACATTGATGCTCCGATTAGCAAGAAAACTAATGATCCAATCGCACAATTTCTCGGGAACCCATAGGGAGGGAGCTTCGAAAGAAACGCTTTGTGCCAGACCCTATCGAAGGCCTTCGCTATGTCCAAATTAACGGCCAATGCCTCCCCCTTGGACTCTACTGCCTCCGTCCATCTATGAGTAACGTAGACCAGAAGATCACCAGCTGATCGACCACGACGGAAACCGTATTGGCGGTCACTGATCAGCTGGTGATCCTCAAGGTACCTCATGAGCTGGCAGTTCATAATAGACTCCGCGGTCTTCCAAGAATTCGAGATTACGCCTTTGGAGTAGGAGTACCGGTAAAGACCCTTTTAAACCGGTGCCAACTCCGGAGCACACGTCTTCAGCACAATGGGAAGGACTCTATCAGGCCCACTCGACTTACTAACGTCCAGGGAGAAGAGTGCTTTGCGAACCGAGCGCTGTGTAAACCGCATATCCGGCATGGAACACTCACACCGCAGGATGGTCGGACATGGACCAGTGAGTTGTCCTCTCTGTTCAGAGATGGAAGGGATGACTGACAGAAGTTCCATTGGACAGCCTTGGCGAGAGACCAGAATGCTCGGGTTCCCGAAGGGAGGCGAACTAGCTTCTCGCCAATTCTGCCGATGTGCTCAGACTGACTCTTTTGAAGGACCTGGAGGTGGAATTATACTTCTTTTTAAGAGCGCTGGCGTTTACATCCGAGACGTTGATGCGTCAGCCCATGCCCAGTAGCACTCCTGCTTATAGCTTGACGCTATTTTACAGAAACGACCAAACCATGGCTAGGATCTGTCTCCGATTGGCACCACAGAGGACGGAACAAGAATTGAAGTGTGTATTTGTAATATCAAAATAACAGCCTTTTACTAAATGTATATGAAAGTATATACGGTGTGTACTTATAACAAAAAGCAATTTTTAAAATTTGTCTGTCTATTTGTTCCGACTAGTCTCCGAAACGGCTGGCTCGATTTTGACGGGAACTTCACTGGTAGATGTCTGATGTTATAAGGAGTAACTTGGCTACTTTTATTTTAGAAAAATAATTAGGATCCGCACAAAAAAATTAAAACCTAAGAAATCCATCGTAATAAATTCCACACGGACAAAGTCGTGGGTAACAGCTAGTCGAATTATAAGATGTTCAATTTTAGCTAATGTTTTTAGTCAGTTCTCACTAGACATGCGCAAAACGCTTTAATGAAATTAATAGCGAATCGCGTATCTTTTTTGTCATAGGTTACGTATCACTCATACGTATCTCTCGAATTACAAAATCGTTTTCTGTGCCTAGAAGATTGCAATATAGTCGATGATATGATTACAAGCTCGTGGAAATTGTCCGTGTGGTCGGAGCTAAGTTCCGCAAAACCTGCTGCAGAAGGACCCAAAAACCAGGACTCTTTTTAATGAAAACGAGGCATTCCATCTTAGTCCTCAGTGGTGATGACGTATCTGCATTCCAATTCTTAATCGGGGATAGATTTAGATGTCGATGGGCCACAGCATCCACTTATCATCCGCTTTCAAAAGCTCGTGACAAACGAGAAAACAGTCCCACCTGGGTTGTTTCTCATTTGTCACCCTTATTCTATACGAGTTAAAAAAAAACTTTGTAAAAATCTCAATTAAAGGCTGCTGCAGTCTTCAGCAGATTTGACGGCATATAATCAGTTTAACAGACTGATCTCCAAATACATGCGGTTAGACTTACGCAAGTTTAATACATCTCGTAATTAATTAGCGATTAGGCCGAACCAAGACACGTAGTCTTTGCTAGAGATATGTTTACCGAAAAGAGCCAATCGTCGAAATTTACCGTCTGTGGTAGCATCGTTTCCGGGACAACTTGAGATTTTGAGTGAGCTTGAGAGGTTTTTCTGACAGAACATATCGTTAGATCCACATGCAAGTGTGAGTAACGATCCAAGAGCAGGTATACTATGTAGTGCATCTTCTACGGTGGCCTTCGATCAACAATACCAACTAGATAACGGATCACGTACAAAATCATAAATACTGTCCGCATTAATATAATAATAATATATTAAATTAAATATATAACAAATAAAGTTCCCGTTTCCCGTTTTTGCCTTGCGAGCTACACTCTCACGTGCAAGAACTCACGTCTCACGTGCGCTCTTATTTACTGAGATAAATTTCTTGCGCCGACCCGACATCTAGTTGGTTTTGTTGATCGAAGACGGTGGCGCTACTCTGAAGACGTGGAGGACAAATTTTGTTATTCATGAAAGGCGGCAACACTCTACTGAAGAACTGTAGACAGATTTCTCTTCTAAACCACGACTACGTTCCCTTTTTTACGAATCATCTACGCAGACTTTACGACTTCTATCCTCATTTTGAGAGCTTATGAACGAGAGATAGATAGATTCATAGCTATAGAACTAGTTGATTTGAAACTTTTTACAACTAAGCGAAGACAGCTTGAAAATACATTTTATATAAAATGTTCAAAATTTGGTAAAATTCATCATCATTTATATAAGATGGACACACCGACACGTGCACTTGTTTCAATTATAATTCTTATTTAATTATATAACCGACCGGTTTCACCTTACAGCGTCATTACTTCATTACTCATTAGGGTAACATTCACTTTACGAGAATTTTTTTTACTTTGGTTTCAACCTATTGTTTTTATGTGATTTTTACATTTATCAGGCGAGGGGGAGGCAAGCCGTGGGAGAACCATAATTTAGTGTCTCCACCAGCTCCAGTGTCCGACGACAATTGGGATGAGGATCCGGCGCCCGCCCAGCCCTCGTTCCAGTCGCCACCGCCCCGCCAAAACAGTAGAGACTTTCAGAGGTAAGTCGTTGCATAATGATACTTTAAATTATATTCAAAAGATCTATTTCTTTTTTAAATAAATTGAGGAATTAATGGCAGATATCGGAAATAGCGTGAGACAAACATTAAAAAATAATTTAAAAAATCTGTTAGTTATGTACACACATTGTAAAGAAATTTTCTATCAAAAAAAATTTGTAACACGCGCCGGCAGACACTGCGCATACATTTTGTATTAGATTCCGTAGACTGACTGTAAGTTTGCCGAACCAATCGCCCGCTTCTATGCCGTAATCTATGGATATATGCCAACCGCATGTCTGTAATTTGTCCTGTCCGATTGTATGGAAGGCTCGTTCTTATATTTTGTACTAGACCCCGCACACCATCAGAAATTTGGAAAGCTGCGTCCGTGCGATATATTGGGCGCCCGTATTGGGGGATAAGACTGACCAAATAGACTATAGTCAACCAAATCTAAGAAATACGTTTTGACGTTTCACATTAATCATTTCGCAATAACTTTGCAAAAGCGTACTCACATTATTTAAAATAACCTTTTACGTAAATCCGAAGAATTATAAAGTTATCTATATTTCATTACAACGTTTATAGTTTTTTATCATTAATTTAAATTTGAATTTTTCTACCAAACAAAATATTAAAAAAATACCAGTATTAATTTTTTTACAATGACGTCGTTTCAATGATATGTCGCTATGTATATTACCGTAGTGTTTGGGTGATTAAAATTCATTGTTATGCGAATAATTGGCAAAATATTCAAATAATCGAATCATTAATTTTTTTAATGTATTATTTGTTTAATTTAATTTTTATTTTTATTTTCAAAATTCCTTAAATTACATGAATCATGAATAAAACAATTTTATTTTTTTACGTTGCAATGTAAATGTGTGTAGGCAAAAAAATAGGCAAGACCGTGCTAAGATAACCACTACATAATTTCAATATCCCGCCATTTCGGTACCAGTTACTCGACTCCACAGAGTCAGTAATTCATTCTTGGGGCGATGTATACGCTTTTACAACAAAATCCCAGTAAATATACAAAATTTGACGTAAGTACACAAAGTTCAACTTTATTTAAACTTTTTGAACTTTGTGTACTTAAACTAAGTTTGTATAAAAAGGGTTATTTTGATTTTAAGGAATTTATGGATGATAACCCCTGGGAAAGGTGATCGCTACCAAGCTATTTCTAATTTGTTTTGTATTATTGGTAATAAATTGCAACATGCATGATTGTAAGCCCTTTTTTTTAAACTAGTCCCGTTGGGTTTCTTGCTAGTTCTTCCCAGGACAGAGGTTTTTTTGCGGACCAGTAATTAATGACAAAAGTGACTTTCAATAAGTATTATTCATAATCTATATTGAATAAAAAAGTTTCTGTTTCTGTTTCGAGAGCTTACTGTGTGTAATTTTGTGATTTTGTATATGTGCTCTTATTTTGTGACTCGGATTTAACTTTTGGACTGTTTCTTCTATATTCGTTGAAGCATGTGCCCATGTCACAAAAGATGATTGGGAAAAGTGGTAGAAAAACAAAACAAATTATTATGGATAGCTTTGAAAGAGACATTAATTTTGACTTCATTTTTGAAAATCAAGTAATAATTAATATAAACAACGACATCTCTACTAGTTGTATTGAAAGTGATTGAATAAATTTATTTTTAATCTAGTTTCAATCTCAAATTTTTATAACTGTGCCTCTTGAAATAAGCAGTAACAACAAATACAAAGAAACTGATAAATCTTGTGTTTTAAATTATACATTTTTAATTTATTCTGGTATTATTCAAACCAAACTGCAAATGATTATCAACTCCAAATAATCGATATCGATTTTTTCAAGAATCGAATATTGTACGTTCCCATTTTTTTATTGGCATGCTTGGTGCAATAAGTTCGACAGCTGTCAAAAGGTATTTCTTAGATTTGGTTGACTATAAATTAATATTATAATACGAGGGTGGATTGAAAAGTACTCGGCCTAACCAAGAAAATAAACACATACTAAATCAGTTATATTTTTTATTTTTCTACATAATCACCATCAAGTTCAATACACTTTTGCCACCTCCCCTTCCAAGCATTTAGACCGTTGAAAAAAAATGATTCTTCCTTAGAGTCAAAATATGCGTCTACAGCTGCTTTGACTTCGTCGTTTGTCGAAAATATTTGACCTCCCAAGTGCTTTTTTAGGTTAGGGAACAGAAAGAAGTCTGATGGTGCCAGATCAGGTGAATACGGCGGATGCAGTAACAGTTCAAAGCCACAGTTGTGAATTTCAGCCATTGACTGTACTGACGTGTGAACACGGGCGTTATCTTGATGAAACAGGATTTTTCTTCTGAGCATTCCTCGACGTTTTTCTTTTATTTCCTCTCGTAAACGACGTAGTAAGGTGCAGTAGTAATCAGAGTTTATAGTCTGACCCCTTTCAAGATAATCAATCATAATCACACCTTTCGAGTCCCAGAATACTGAAGCCATCACCTTATTTGCCGACAAAATCGACTTAGCCTTTTTAGGGGGTGGTGAACCAGGTCTTCACCACTGTTTTGATTGTTGTTTTGTTTCCGGTGTACAGTAATGAACCCATGTTTCGTCCATAGTAACAAAACGATTCAAAAAATCATCTGCATCGGCTTCAAATAACTCCAAACAGTCGCGTGAAATAGTCAATCGCGTCCTTTTTTGTTTAACTGAAAGCAGTCGCGGAACCCACCTCGCAGACACCTTGTGGAAACCCAACTCGTTGACAATGATGTTTTGAGTTCGTTCATAAGAGATGCCTATAATCTCGGCTATCTCTCTAATTTTTAATCTGCGGTCTCCCATTATTAAATCAAGTACTTTTTTAATATTTTCGTCAGTAGTTGACGTCGAAGGCCTTCCAGAGCGGGGTTCATCTTTCACACTCTCTCTACCACGCTTAAATTCTGCTATCCATTTTTTTGACGGATGAATATGACAGAGCACAATCGCCTAATGTACTGACCATGTCATCATGGATGGCTTTTGATGATAGCCCCTTCTTATGGAGGTACTTAATGACGGCACACTGCTCGATTTGCTCCATTCGCGGAAATTATGTCCGATTACTTTGTTAATAAATTTATAAAACCACAACTAATTATCGCACACGTTTCGAACTTCACACAATGAACTAGTCTGAACTGAACTAAATAATGTGGGTAGATTTGATTTTTAGAATTGAATGGATCTGTGTTAGGCCGAGTACTTTTCAATCCACCCTCGTATTTAGTTACGTTGTTAAAAAATATACAGCCTATGAAATATTGGTGAGAAGTAGGTTTGCCGGAATGAAATTTATGATAGTCTGGAGTGTGCTGATGGTCATCCGTTGGATAACTTCTTACAATATGCGCCCGGTCTAATAGAAAAATATAAATTAAAAAAGAAAAATTAAGGTTTTAAATATTTATTTTCAGATTATTTTTAAAGATATTATGGCCAGTGTTTTTTCAGCTTCTTTTGTACTCGTATGAAAAAAGTTCGTATATATACATATTGAAAACGTGTTGACGATTAACAGAAGAAAGCCTAGGTCGGAACAGGAGAAACATGGTCCTAAACCGGCTTGGAAGAGTAAAGAGTCGGGTGTCGGAAAGAGGCTGAAGCAAGCGGCCGAAGCTGCGAGTATAGAGGCGAAAGGAGCAACGCGAACTTCAGTGCAGGATCGCCTGCGACGGTACTGCGCTGTTGCCTAGATGTGTCTGTTAACACGTTTCTGTATTCGCACCAAGCTTCACATTTTCGTTCACATGCTTGCTTTATTTGCTTAGCTGTTTTTTAAAAAAATATGCGTCTTATTATATAGAATGAGATTGAGGTCTGCGAGTTCTTTTTATTCTATTCTTATAAATTACGAAGCGGAAATTTTTGTATCAGTACTTGTAAAATTATGCTTTTAAGGGGAGTTTAAAACAGACAGGTCATCTGAATATCACTTTTTTACTAGTAAAAAATGTATAAAACATAAATAGTAAAAATATAAAAAACAATTAGGCGTTGATGTTTTTAATTGCTTTTGATGATATTGTATATTGCCTTTTTTGTGTACATATTTGTTTTGAATGATAAAACAAATAAAAACATTATTGTTATTTAGTGTTAGTTATATTCTGCAATAACCGGAAGTGTAGCAAATGTTACACATACGCAGAAAAGTAAACATGCGGAAATATCCACACGTGATGATAATTGTTTACTAACAACACGCAAACGTTTTGTAAACATGTGTACAAAAAATAATCAAATAAAAATCTGTTTTCTTTTTATCATCATCATCATCATCATCATTACAGCCATTTACAAGTCCATTGCTGAACATAGGCCTCCCCCAAGGTATGCCACAAAGCACGGTCCTGAGCCACCTGCATCCATCGACTTCCTGCATGTCTTACCAGGTCGTCACTCCATCTAGTGGGGGGTCGCCCCACACTTAGTGTACCGGTACGAGGCTGCCACTCGAGAACCTTTTTCCAACGGTTGTCGGTTATTCGAGCTATATGGCCGGCCCATTGCCACTTCAGCTTACTAATCCGTTGGGCTATGTCGGTCACTCTGGTTCTACTGCGGATATCCCCATTTCTAAGTTTATCACGTAGAGAAACTCGAGCATAGCCCTCTCCATAGCTCGCTGAGCGACTTTGAGCGTCCTCATACGGCCAGCAGTGAAGAACCACGTCTCAGTTCCATATGTCATCACTGGCAACACGCACTGGTTGTACAACTTAGTTTTCAGGTTTTGAGGTATACCTGACGAGAAGATGCGTTGTAATTTCCCGAACGCTGCCCAGCCGAGTTGAATCTGTCGATTGACCTCTCGGTCGAAGCTGGACTTACCAGCCGGACTATTTGTCCCAGGTAAACGTACTCGTCAACAACTTCGAGCATAGTGCTCCCAACAACTACCGGCATAGGTGTGACATGGACATTAAACATGATCTTAGTTTTGTCCATGTTCATCTTAAGACCTATCCGTTGGGAGGCACTATTGAGGTCATTGAGCATAGTGCTTAAGTCCTCCAAGCGATTCTGCCATAAGGACTATATCGTCGGCAAATCGAAGGTGAGTGATGTACTCGCCATTGATGTTAATACCGTATGCCTTTCCAGTCCAGTAGCTTGAAAACATCTTCCAATGCAGCGGTGAAGAGTTTCGGGGAAATAACGTCACCCTGTCTTACACCTCTCTGCAGTTGGATAGGTTTCGTACTCTGGTTCTGTACTCGGATAGCCATCGTAGCCCTACTGTACAAACACTTCAGCACCTCGATATACCGACAGTCAACTTGGCACCGCTGAAGAGACTGTAGCACCGCCCAAATTTCGACGGAATCAACGGCTTTCTCATAGTTCACATACGCCAGGCAAAGTGGCAGATTGTACTCTTCGGACTTCTGTACAATTTGCCGAAGGGTATGTATGTGGTCTATGGTACTGAAGCCTTTTCGGAAACCGGCTTGTTCGGGAGGCTGGAAGTCGTCGGGTCTGCGTGCGAGACGATTCGTAATGACTCGAAAACAGCACGTAGACGCGGTTCAGAAGGGATATCGGTCTGTAGTTCTTCAAGAGGGCGTTGTTACCTTTCTTGAAGAACAAGACCACCGCACTTCTGCTCCACGCCTCCGGAGTAGTGCCACCACGGAGGACGGAATTAAAGAGCCTCTGAAGGACTTCAAGTACCGGTGTTCCACTCGCTTTCAGAAGCTCCGCTGTAATTCCATCCTCGCCCGGGGACTTGCCGTTTTTAAGGTGCTGGAGAGCCATTCTAATCTCGCTCAGACTGACGTCCGGGATATCATCGGAATAGTGTCGGATAGGACCCGCTCTTGGATCGTTACTCACACTTGCGTGTGGCTCCAACGATGATGTGTACAGCTACCCATAGAACCTCTCAATCTCACTCAGAATCTCAGGTGTCCCGGAAACGATGCTGCCACACTCAGTCTTCAGCTTTGACAGTTGGCTCTTACTGGCGGACAGATCTCTGGCAAAGACTTTGGAGCCCTGGTTCCGCTCAATCGCTTCTTCAATACGAGCAGTATTAAATTTGCGTAAGTCTCGCCGTATGCATTTGGAGATCTGTCTGTTCAGTTGTCTGTATGCTGTCAAATCTGTTGACGATTGCAGCCTCATCTCCCGTCTAACAGCCATGAGATTAAGAGTGTGATCGGAGAGCTTTTGTGTTTTTCTGCGGCCGGTCTTGCAGAACTTAGCTCCGACCGCATGGACAGTTTGCACGAGCTTGTAATTCATATCGTCCACTGCATTGCAATCTTCTAGGCACTGAAATCAGTTACGTAACTCGAGCTGAAAGGTTTCGGGATTCTGGATTAGAGCACGAGGGGGACGGAGCGTTGACTTTATTAGACGAGACCTCTCCAACGTTTAGGTTCAGTGTGCCTCTAACCATTCGGTGATCGCTGCCAGTTTTCACCCTTACGATCACCGAGACATCACTGAACAGTTGGCGTCTGGTCGTCATAATGAAGTCAATCTCATTTTTTTTTCTTTTTATATTCCAATTAAATATTTGGCATAATTAAAAAAACGAACATCTTTTTACTATATCTATGCAAATTTTTAGCATTCAATTCTAGAGAAAATAATCGAGCTAAACAGTTTCTGATGAAGTACCGTACTCACGGAAGGAATGAAAAAAATTAGACACGGTTTTTTTCTGTCATTTACGTAGATGTCAACAGTCATATTGTTTTTAAAAATATATAATATCTCGCGTGTGGACGAAAACGAGTGAGCATTAACAAACGGCCCAGTGTTGTTTGTCCTGATTTCTTCGCCCCATTTGCTTGCGATCACGCTTGGGTACGCGGCAAATTCAGGGTTGCCAGGTGAATAGCATTGTTTATCTTTATTTAAATAAATAGATGTTAGCATTAAAATATACAATTATTAATACAATAAGTAATTGAGAATGTATTCAAATAATTTAAAAGCCTTCGACCACTTCTCCTAACACATTTAACTCAACACTTTCATGATGTTTAGCTATTTAACAGAACTGGCAACTCTCATGATTTAATGCTCTCTGTATGTTGCAAGCACAGCAGGCAGTTACCTCGTACCGTTCGATTGCACTTTTATGTATGCCCTATCACATCAGCTAGACTACTTATAGTGCTCTTACACTGTCAATAAATATGTATGTTATTCTATGTATTATCTCTACCAATTGGATTTTGACGTGAAAACCACAAATTTCGTAGGCCAGCATGTTCTAAAAATTACAAAAAATACCGTACCCGTAACACGTTCATGACACATGTAATACTTTAAAATCCTAGCCAAATGCTATATTTACTATATAATTCAAACAAGAGAAATATAGTACATTTTATTTACTTATATCATTAATTTATTACCAGTCTAAAGATAAATGTAATAAATCTATACTTCATTACCTTTTCAATGTCATCTAATACATCAATATTATGGACAGTGTATTAGCACCTGTTTACTTTATAACTTTTGTACAAATTTGTTTGTTGTATATATTTACTGCATATTTTGTAAATTGAGCTTTAAAAAATCGGCTACACTGACTGTTCTTTACGTTGCATATCAATTTATTTTCAAGCTTAAGTTACATACCACCAATTTAAAATTAAATAATTTAAGAAAGCATTATTAGTGGTTAATAAGATAAAATTGCAACATGTCATGCTTTTTGTAATGCTCATTTATTTGTAATACAAATCGATCTGTTTTTTCTTCGCTAGTGTTTACTTTAATATTATTTTTTTGCGTTGATGTGCACATTTTGTATAAATTTAATATGATAGTAGACACTCATGCCAATTGATTTTTTATAGAAATTAAATAACAATACCAGTACTTGACGTCTTCGTTAAGTATTCAAATATCTCTCATCTTTAAATTTAGTAAATAAAATTATATTGGACTTAAAACGGAAATCAAACCAAATGTTAAAACACTAAAAGGTAAAATTTAAATGAGATAACATAATTTATTGATATTGGTGTATACTACCATATGAAAACATAACAACAGCATGTAAAAAATCTATTACATTAGTACTTATATCGGTATGGATTGTAATGTGATAAAAGATCCATCGCATTTAATTTTACGATTAACGGATGAATAATCAGAGTATTAATCTAATTAATCTATAAGAGCCTGCGCTCACAGACGGCACGGAATGGCGCGGCGTGGCAAGGTATCCCGCGGCATGCCTAACAAGTAGGAATGCCAGATGTCCGGTATTCGAACGGACAATCCGGTTTTCTTTATACTTGTCCGGTCACAAAATTATTGGTAAACCGGACAATAGATTGTCCGGTGATAAAATAATCGTTCATTATTTCTACCGAACAGCACTAGCGTTTCGTAGGACCGCGAAAAGCCGCCGCTTGTCGCCGCCCGCGCTGTTCCGCTTTGCTTCGCGACTTGCCCCTGTAGGGATGCCGATTTTTTCTGAAAAAGATCGATTTTCAAATCGAGATATGATGAAACGATTCACAAAAAAATCATTCTTTAAGAGTGTGGGTACCTTCAACTAATCGTAAATCATTTTACAGTTACATAAACAGTAAAATATTCGATCGCCATTTTTCTGCAAATCGTGCAAAACTACGTTCACATTGGCTTATGATGGCGTGAAAGCGTTAACACAGCACGTCACGTCAAAGAAGCATAAAG